ATGGTGATATAGCACCTCTTGTATACTCCTGGATAGAGCTGGAACGCATTCTACTAAGTGAGGTATCCCAAGAATGGAAAGACAAGCACCACATGTGCTCACCATCAAGTTGGTATTAACTGATCAACACATAAGTGCACATATAAGGATAACATCTATTGGATGTTGGGCAAGGGGGAGGGGGGGAGGAGGGAGGAGGGGACAGGCATTTGCACACATAAAGAGTGCAACGCGCACCACCCGAAGAATGCACATATTTGAAACTCGGACTTGGGGGAGGGGGCAAGGGCAACATACGTAACCTAAACATCTGTACCCCCATAATATGCTGAAATAAAAAGATATATATTTTGCATATACATATTGTGATAAAACTTTGAAATGCAAACATACCTTCATCAATGGGCTCATATTTCTGAATGATTTCAATAGCAATAGTTTTACTCATCTCACTTATATATTGTTCTTGTCTCAGAAATTGAACCAGGTTATTTTCCAAAAGAATTTTTCGGTTTTCAGAATATGCATTGAAAATCTCGATAATTTCTTCTCTGTGTGCAATAGTTCGATAAATTGCTCTGAATTCTTCTATGGTGATTCTTCCTTGTTTCAGCCTGTCATTATCCTACTAAAAAAAATGACTGGTGGGCTCACATTGTGAATATAAAGAATACACAAAACGAATGTTAGAGTATTCATATACTATATTAATATATACAGCAATTTATGCTTGAAAGAAGATGAAACTTACATTTGATTCTTATTGTAGATAAAATACTAAAACTGTATAATACACTGTAAAATGCAGCAAAACTGCATGGAATGATGCCAAAGTTGGAAAAGGATTAATGGATCATTACCTCTTAAAACCCAGTGTTACGGGGGGAAGAAAGAGGTCAGGGAGAAGATGAGGATTCCAGGCTGTCCTTCAATTTCACATTTCACACTTTGGTATTCCGCTCAATTTCAGTACCTTCTTAAAACCATGCCAGGCAGTGTGCAATCCCATGCTACCAATGCGTAGCCTGGACCATAGATGTCAGAGTGAATTAAGATCACTGTAAACTGCAGAAGCTGTAGTAGTTATGTAACACCTAGAAGAAGTGGAGCCTGAATAATCATTGAAGGATTTGGGGCAGGTACAAACGAGAGAAGTTCCAGTAAGAAAGAGGGGATTCACCTGGCTATCGTGGAAAGTACACATTTGAATTTTATGAGATAAAAGACAAGAAAGTAGTCTGGATCCAGGTATTGAAAGTAACAGAACTACTGTGAGGTTCTGAGCAGGAAAATGACTAGCAAAAGTAGCAGCTTAGTATGATTAGTTGTGCATACCAATTGGAAAAGATGGAGAATTGCAGGTAGGAGAGCAGAGAAGATGCAATTCAAGTGGGAGGCGGGGAATAGACACTAACATCAGTGAAATGATGAAGTCAGAAGATTTAACACATCGAAATTTTAGACACATAATGAGAGAATTCAGGAATCCCTGGGGTGGGGGAGAGTTAGAATAACTGGTAGAATTATAGTATCACTAACAAACAAAATACTGAGGAATAGGAAGATCAGCTTAGAGGGAGATTTAATTTTTTAAAAAAGACTTTTTTCCTCCCTTACATATTAACTCTCATTACATTGCAAACAGCTTGATACAAGGAGCGTGTGCTACAGGGGAATTGTGTTGTGGTGGAAAGCCGAGAGAATTTGTAGACAGAGAAGACTTTATATTCCAAACTCCAAAGTGTGTGGGACTTTGGACATTTAAATTAAGCTTTCCGAGCTTCACATTTTTCATCTGAAAATGAGGATGACAGTACCCCCTATGTCATCAGGCTGCTATAAGGATTGGAGATAGACAAAAAATGGTAGTTCTAGATATCCATGTATTGTTATATATTCTCTATGTCTGCTTCCCTCACGTCAGCCAGCCTAGTGTCTCCTCTTGTCAGTTTTGTCTATCCAGTATACACCATTGTAGAACACCTAGAAAATGACAAGACACGAACACGCTGGAAATGATATCCACGTTTCATTAGCAAAAGTTCAGTGGTGGCTACTCAAGAGTTTGATATGAAGCGACCAAGAAGCAATCTGAGCTGGGAACCAAAGAGTCATTTCAAAGAGGACCACAAATCCGCACATACGGAGCACCTGGAAGAATCAGGCTGGAATGAAGTACCAAGTGGAAATGAGAGGGAGATGAGCTTGGGAGAAAAACTGGGATCTATGGTTGTCAAATCAGATGTTGGGTCTCCGGAGCTCATTAAACAATGATAATACCTTAAAAATTATATAATCTAAAAGTAATCCATGCATATTGTCCATTATCTTAGTAAACTAACATAGTTTAACTTACCATTTTTAAATTCTGGATTTTGAGGTTCATGGAAGTGGATGTTACAGAATTAAAATAATTTTATTTCAGCCCCATCCCAGTCCTAATTTGTCATAAGATCTTAAGCAAGTCAATAAAAATCAAAATACGCCTGTAATTCCTGAAAATTTGTGTTATATAAAATTATATAAATAAAAAATTACAGTCCTACTGCATAATAGCATAAAATAAAATATACATTATCCAGTGAGTAATGAAAGTTTTATTACTTTCAAGTTTTATTACTTTTAAGCAGAGTATAAGCTTGGTCATCTGAAATGTCCTCTGATAAGATATGTTTTGTCTTGTGTTTTCCTAAAAGATCAAAGTCGCTATCTGATACTAAAAAGAATTGGAGATGTAAAGTCCCAACAACATTCCACAAATCAAAACAATTGCTATAATTGATCAAAAGCAAAGAAGAATTGAGGGTCAAAATTAATCAAATTACTGAAAAATAAAAGCCACACAAGATAATGTGAGTTTTATCACTAAAGATGGGAAGATCTAATATTAGGAGAAGGGGAAAAGAAAAAGGAAACAGCAAGGAGTAAGTATTATGAAGAAGAAAAACAGGACCTGGTAAACAGAGTCATGATCTGGGGAAGCCAGAAGAAAAGCAATAAGCAAGAAAGATGCAAATCTGAGCAGTGAGGCATGTGATAGCAGCTACAATTTGAGTACCAACGTATTAGAATTTCCTATAAGAGGAAATTGAACCACAAAAATCTTATGTAAGTTGTCCCCAGTCCGATAGGTGTAGTAGACCAGGATTTGAACTGGCTCCAGACACACACAGAGGAGTGGTGGGAAGAGAGAAAGTCAATATACCATGACACGGATTAACAGTATATAAGCAGAAATAAATTCTGTAAAATGCAGATCTGATCATTTCAACTCCCTCTTAAACATCTCCTTGTAGCTCTTTTGTCTTCAAGACAAAACCTCAACTCATCGTGTAGCATCCAAGTCCCTCTAAGGAGTCATGGATGGTTTCCACTCTTACCCTTTTCCTCCTGGCACCGCATCCTTCAGGTGTTCAGAATTAGTTATAGTACAGCCACCAAGATATCACTTGCTGTGGCACGGGCTGTTCTTTCTGTCTGGAATACCCTTCTTTTACTTTTTAATTTACTATAATAATTTCTACTAGTCCTTAAAAAAGTGTCACCTCCCCTAGAAGTCTTCGCTATGTCCCTGTGTGTCTACTCCCTAAGCTACGTAAGATACCCTTCTTCTCTGTTCTTACTATAAAACTCTGCACCCTCTGCACCAGGGTTTATTACACTGGAGTGAAAGCCTTTTCCCATATTTCTTCTAGACTTGCCTCAGACAGCAAGTTTGTCTTTGTTTCTTATATTGTCAGTACTTAAAAGAGTGCTTGGCTGAAAGTATTTGGAACAGGGTCTACACCCCAGTGATTTCATGAATCTGATGAAATATGTGCATTTAAATAATAATTAGATAAAGGAGTTAAATATCTCCCTAGCTTTAAGGAGAATAGGAAAAGAGATTTAAAAACACATATTGCAGAAAATATGCAAAATCCCAGGCCCCACCTCAGGGTACACTACCACTTTTTAAAGTTTTACACACTTAAATCACTTAACAGTACAACATAAAATAAGAGTAATAAAGCCATTTTTCTTCTATTTTTATATAAAATGTTCCTTAAGTGGTTATTCTTTGCAAAGCATTACAGAAAAGAACTTTCCCAAACAAGTCCTTCAATGTTAGTGTATAATGTAGAAATATACTCTCATACTTTAAGACCATGAACCCCATGCAGGAAAATATTTCATTCTTCTTTTTATTCCTGGTACCTAGTACTAACCCTACCCTAACGTAGGATCTTAATGATTATATGTTTAAATGAATGGTTAAATAAACAGGGGTAAAATCAAATAATAACATCACTCCATTGATAGTCATTCTGCTAGTATACTTTCAGAAGACAGAGTAAAGACTTTTCATACTGTTACCATCTTTCATTGCTCAGCTTGCTAGTAAAAATATGAAATGTTGTTTAAAATAAATGATGTCATGAGAAAGGTGATTTATCAAAATACAGAATTTACTTTTAACATTAAGAGGTAGCATTTTAAAATTTATTGTCTAATATATTGCAGGAAATATATTACAGGAAATGATATGGCAGTAGTTTAAACTGTTTGGCAACTTTGTCTTCTTCCTGTCCTCCTTCCCTTTCTTCCTAACCAAATAACTTTGTCTTCTTCCTGTCTTTCTTCTCTTTCTTCCTAACCAAGTATGTGAGTCAGAAACTACACTGGGTAAAAAGGATGCCAAGGTGATCATTGTCATTGCCCTCTGGAAGCTTACAGTCTAGAAAAGGAGAGCAGGCATCAAAGAGTCAGAGATGCCACAATTTCAACTCTGTAGACAACATACACAGTAAAGTTGGACGATTCTTCCTGGAGGGCCAAAAGAGAGTCTTTACAGAAAAAGTGGTCCTAGAGATCAGTCTTCAAAGATGAGAAGGAATGTGTTTGCCTGAAAGTGAGGAGGAAAGGAGTTCATTCTAGGTGTTGGGACTGGAGTAAACATATGCACAAAGGTGAAAGAAGACCAGTGTCAGATGTTAGTGAAGCGGGGATGAGCGCTAAGGCTGGAGCGGCTCAGACTTCATTCGGAAACAATGAGGAGTTATTGATAAGCTTTAGGGAGAAAAATCACATAAATTATTGTTTTAGAAGGTAGCTCTGGCAGCTTCATAAAAGGTAGATGTTGGGATTAAAAGCAAAGAAACCAGAGTGTAGGGCTTTTCCAGCTTTGATGTATATATGAGTCACCTAGGGACTTGAAATGCAGTCAGCATCAGTATGTCCGGGTTTGCATTTCTAACAAGCTCTTCAGGAGGCCAGAGATTCTGGCCTGAGAACCACACTTTGAGTAGCAAGTAGTTCAGGAGCAATTGACTTAGTGTAGCAAGAATATAGACTCAAAATGATTTGAAATTTGACATGGAGATCAGGTAAGAGGAGGAGTCTGGGAATCTCTCTAATTTCTGGCTTGGATGACTGAGAAAATGGTGTTACTATCACCAAGAAAAGAAATAGAGGAGGACAGACTGTTTTGGAGGGAAAGATAAGTTTCATTTTAAACATATTAAATTTGAAGTATCTATGGGGCATCCAAGCAGAGACAACCAGTAGGCAATTGGTTGAAGGGTAGGGATGGAAGAAAGTGATATGTTATAGAAGAAAACACAGTAAGAATTTTGGAGTCAGACA